CCCGAGGTGGCGGGGGATCCTGGGAAATGTGGTTTAACAGGCCTCGGGAACCGTGCTAGTTCCTCGGAGGTAAGGAATACAGTTCCCAGGGTTCCTTGGGCCATTTCGGCCACGCCTCCACAAGGCAAAAACGCCTGCGCACAGTCTCCGCCCCACCCCCTCAGGTAGCCCGCGACTCGCTGTTCCCGTAAACTATAGCGCGAAGTTGCAGCGAGCTTTCTGCAAGCCCGTGGGAGCTTGTGGGAGGGAAGCCTTTGCTCTGCTGGAAAGGAGATAACCGGCTCTGGCTGTCCCTGGGCGAAGGGAGCTGGAAGCACCTCACGAGCGCCTAGTGCCGGAGCTCATTCCGGGGCATCCGGAGCCGAGGACCGGGGTTTCGACAGTTGTACTACACATTGTTTGTTTTCTTGGGCAATTGATCCTCCCGTTGCCCCGCCCCTGGCCGCGGCTTATTGGCAGAGGCTGAAGAATGACGTCCTCGTGGGTGCATGGGTATCTCCGGCTTTGGCTTCTTTCCCGCTCTTGATTGGTAATTGGATGTGCTCGGTTCTTCCTGATAGGTTAGTCTTTTTTCTTTACGATGCAAAAACCGTATTTCAAAACCTGAACATTCAGCGGTTTCCCAGCTCTTGCTAGGGGAACCGTGTAACTTCTCGGGCCCACAGCCAATTATCTTTTTCTTGGCGCTCCAGTCGGGTTTTATCCTAGCATATGCGGGGTGCGGTAGCCGAGCTTTAACCATCTGTCTGAGAACAATTAAAGTGCCTGGAAGATTGGAAAATGCAGCGTTTTAAAAACAATCATTTTTGCTGGGTTGTAAAGCGTTTTTACAGTATATGCATAATAGTGAGACTCACCTAGGGGTTTTAAGAAATTTATCTTAATCATGACTTTGATTCGTTTTGATGTCTGGGGCTCAGGACACGTCGGCTCAAAATATGTAAGAGCCTAGAAAGTGCCACGCTAAAAATGTGTCCCTCTGCGTGTTGATTATTTTTAAACTAAAAGAAATGGAGATCCATCCAACACACGAGTTTCAGCTCCCTTCCACTACCCAAAATAAAATATAAGGGAACATTTTTTGTAAAGAGAATGTTAAATTTGTAAGAGAAATTTTATAGGGTATCTTTATCAGTAAGGCAGCTTAGCTATTCGTAGACAACATTATTGTTGGGGAGGCTATCTTTATTCTTTTCTCTCACCTTACCTTAATTAATTTGTCTCCACTACCTACTAAAACTTCAAATTCTTGTTCCTTTCTGTATGCCATGAGCTTCAATCATCTGTCCTTTGAGTTACATTTTGTAGGACTCCTGTGCACACGAGTACAACTAACCTTGTTCTCTTACCAGACATGATTACCAACACTTGTAGTCCCTCCTGCTCTTGGCAGAGTCAAAGACAATCAATCTCTTGAGCAGCGGAGTTTGGAGACCCTCGGTAGTTCTGCTTATCGGGTTTGTGCCATTTTAATTTGCAGACTAACCAAGCAATTTAGATAGAGTGAAGTTATTTTTCCTCCCCTATAATGGCATGACTCATATATTACATGCTCAGACACAAATGAAAACATGGCTAGTGCTGGGATAGGGTTCATATGTAACATTGACCAAAAGAAGGAATGGTCAGTTCCACCTGAAGCAATGTGGAAAAAGTATGGGACATTGCCTGCTAGGTTTTTCAGAAACTTATGTTAAACTAGAGTGGAGTTGCTCTTTTTTCTACCACCGTCCTTTCTGAGTTACTTCCTCAAATCTTGAAGGTCAAGA